ACTCGCTTGAGCCCAGGAGATGGAGGTTGCTGTGAGCTGTAATGCCACGGCACTCTGCCCAGGGGGACAGCTTGAGGCTCTGTCTCAAAAAAAAAAGAATGTTCATTATAGCATTGTGTGGAAAAGACAAAAATTGGAAATACACTAAACCATGTTCCTCAAAGAGAGCTGGTTACATAAATGATGGGACCCTAGACAGAAGAACACAGGCTGCCATGAAAGAGCAGGGGCACAACCCCATCTCGCAGTCACCCTTACACACTGCCACATAAAGTCAGAAGAACCATAACGTAATTTTAGAATCAACATGTAGTAATTTTTTTTTTTAGAGACAGAGTCTCACTTTGTCACCCTTGGTAGAGTGCTACGGCATCACAGCTCGCAGCAACCTCCAGCTCTCGGGCTTAGGCGATGCTCTTGCCTCAGCCTCCCAAGTAGTAGCTGGGACTATAGGCGCCCACCACAACACCCAGCTATTTTTTGGTTACAGTTTGGCTGGGGCTGTGTTTGAACCCGCCACCCTTGGTACATGGGGCCACTGGGTTCACTGAGCCACAGGAGCCGCCCGACATGTAGTAATTTTTTTTTTTTTGAGACAGAGCCTCAAGTATCACCCTGGGTAGAATGCTGTGGCATCACAGCTCACAGCAACCTCCAACTCCTGGACTCAAGCGATTCTCCTGCCTCCGCCTTCCAAGTAGCTGGGACTATAGGTGCCTGCCACAACGCCTGGCTAATTTTTGGTTGCAGCCGTCATTGTCGTTTGGCAGGCCTGAGTTGGATTCGAAACTGCTATCTCCGGTGTATGTGGCTGGTGCCTTAGCCGCTTGAGCCACAGGTGCTGAGCCCATGTAGTAATTTTTAAATTTAAAACAACACATAGGGCAGTGCCTGTGGGTCATGGAGACTCTGTCTCAAAAAAAAAAAAAAAGAAAAAGAAAAAGGAAGGAAAAAAAGGCATTTCTAATCAATAAGTTCTATATAGGAAGCTTTTGTCAGAATTAGAATCTCTTTTTTTTGAAAGAGACATAGTTTTACTATGTTGCCCTGGGCTTAAGAAATTCTCTTGCTGGGTGACAGCCATCCCATATGCCAGAGGTAGTGGGTTCAAACCCAGCTCTGGCGAAAAACTGCAAAAAAAAAAAAAGAAAAGAAAAGAAAAGAAATTCTCTTGTCTCAGCCTCCCAAGTAGCTGGGACTATGGGAACCTACCATAATGCCTGGCTATTTTTAGAGACAAAGTCTTGCTCTGGTTCAGGCAATCCACCCATCTCAAACCTGTGAGCTCAGGCAGTCCACCCACCTCCGACTCACAAGTGCTGGGATTACAGGCATGAGCCACAGTGCTCTCGGCCTAGAATCCTTTCTTAATTGTATCTCTGTACCTTAACCTCTGAGACAGTCCCTGCCTGGATATGTGACCTCTCTCTCTCCTGCTTCTGTCACCCTGAAGCCATCTGCAGCACAGCCTTTCTACCCTGGACGATAGAAGCACTCCTCCTACTTTCTCCCTTGAAAGCGGGTACCCAGTACTTCCCACCCTTGTGGCTGAGCTATAAATCCATTTAAGCTTTGGAATGTCCAGTTTGAACAGTTTTGATCACTTCTGGCTTAGCCTGTTTCTTTTCCTGCTAACCATGAGTATAACTCCTTTACTCTGACCCAAGACAGGCATTATCTGCAATGTGAAAAAAGTTTTCCACATACCGACTAAATTCCTGGATGTTTTCTTCCTTCTAGAGAAAGCTGATGGAAAGCAAAAGTCCAACAAGAAGAAAAATGTCATTCCACGGATCATCATCACTCGAGCCTCAAATGAGACTCTGGTTAGCGACAGCTCTAGTGTGAGTGAGGAGCAGAGAACCATTCGGGAGCAGCATGACTGGGGCCCCTACTATCGGCACCGGAACCCCAGCACAGTAGATGCCTATAATTTACATACCACAGAATAAACAAGTGCCCCCAGCAGCTCTCCTCATTGACTGTGATAGGAGTCTCAGCAGCAGTGGCAGAAAGGGCCAGTCCACCCCTCTGGAAGCTGCAGGTGCCCTTCAGCCCTTGAGGTCTGCCCTGTGACCACCTTGGTCTCACCTTCCCCAGAGCTGCCAGCGCCTGGTGAAGGCAAGAGTGACTGCCTCAGAGTGTGAACTTTGTGGTAATAAATTAATATGTTAGTATTTTCCTGTTGCAAGTAGTCAGCTGACTAGGATGCTACATGGACGGCAGGTGGCATCTCATGCTCTCATTCACAATGGACAGTTAAAATCCTGTCTATAAAGGAACAGGGAAGTTACAGTAAATAAGAAGGCCCTCAAACTTGGGGATAAGGTCAGATTTTGAGGGCTAAACTTTAAGCTATATGTTCTTAAAACAGAGAGGTACAGTCACCTAACAAGGACCCAAGGGCTTCTCCCTTGATTGTAATGTGACCCAGTGCACCAAAAGGCCAAGAAGAATGTGGTTTGTGTCCTGGGGTTATGGGGAAGCTGGGCTTTGGAAGTGGCCTTGTTAGCACTGCTATGTCTTCTGGCCGGATGAGGGCTCCTAACAGTGAAGGGCCATTTGAAGGACCCAAGTGCGATGTTGGAAATAGCTCCTCAGATGACATCACCTCACCAGCAGCCTTTGGGTCAGGCTGGTCCAGAATGCCCTCATCTGTCTTGTTTCACACATTTAATCTGGTGACAGCATGCTTAGTTTTGTTATTTCCAGATTGGTTGACAGGGTTTACACATGGTCTCCAAGATATGCTAGCCTCGGGGGGCTAAAAGAACCAGGGGACAATAGCACGTCCACCAGGATTATGGACACATCCTTCTCAGTTGCTGAGGTGAGTGGCCTGTCCAGCATGTACACATGCGTGCACACACAGCCCCATCTGTGCCATGTATGTACATTCATACGTGACCTAAATAATTCAGAAATGAATTCCAAGATAAAAAAATATAGTATGAAGATACAACTTTGTTTAAATACTGCTTCACAAAATGTATTTTAAACTTCCCAGGGAGAGGGAAAGCAATCTGCCAGAAATTACTAAATTTATTAATTACATTTTTTTTCTTTTCTTTCTCTTTTTTTTAAGAGACAGGGTCTTGCTATGTTGCCCAGGCTGGTCTGGGAATCCTGGTCTTAAACAAGCTTCCCTTCTCAGCCTCCGGAGTAGATGGGATTACAGGCATGATCCAGTATACCCAGCTAATTTCTTTAAATGTTGGAGACTTGTTACTCAAGGGCTGCTTTGCATCAACTACGTTACTGGAGTCCGATGGGCCCAACTCTCAGGCACCTAGGCGTTCAGCTCTCCAACCCTTATGAGAAAACATCCACAATGGATCAGAGGTAAGTGGTACTCTGTGTCACATCACACACCATACAGCACATCTGAGTGCCACCCCTCAGGGCCTCCTGAGTTGCTCTCTGGCAGTGGCCAGTGCACCATTTGCCTCTTTGCTGTCCTAGCTGGTTCCAGAGGCAGGCAGCTCTCCCCAACCTGTGAAGACAAGAGTGAGAATGGCACAGAACTGGAAGTGCACTCCTCCCCTTAACTCTGCATGACAGCGCACCCCCTCCTACACAAGGCTCTGTCCCTGGCTAGAGACTGGGGACTAGGTATCTCTGAGGTACAGGCACAACATGACCACTACAGAGGCCACTGCCAGAGACTGGCTTCTGCTCCGCAGATGCCATCAGGAGCACTGCTCAGGTATGCAGCTGGCTTCTGGAAGAACTTAAAGTATTGAAATTATTAATCTGCTGTAATTGACAGTTGTAATTTAAATATCTCCCCAATGGCTCATAACTGTAATCCCAGCACTTTGAGAGGCCAAGGCAGGATTGCGTGAGGTGAGGGGTTCAAAACCACCCTGGGCAACACAGCAAAACCTAACGTCTACAACAAATTTAAAAAAAAAAAATAGCGAGGCATGGTAGCGCCAGCTACTCTGGAGGCCGAGGCAAGAGGATAGCTTGAGCCCGGGAGTTGCAGGCTGCCGTGAGCTGTGCTGACGCCACTGCTTCCCAGCCCAGGTGATAGAGCAAGACTCCGTCTCTAAATAAATAAAAGGTGAGGAACGCGTGGCCCTCAACGTGCAGTCCCTCAACCGAATCCAAACTTCACAGAACGAACCCTTCTGTAAAATTTGGATTCGGCCGCAGGTACCGCGCCCAGGGGCGTCTGTCGCCGATCAGAAACGGTGAGTCGGTCTGCGTCCGAGCTGAGCCCGCCAGCTCGGCTCGTTTCCCACAACAAGCCGCACCCGAGGGCGGCCGACGACAGTGGCCGCGGGCGTCTCTCCCTCGACCTCCCGGGGCGGCGCGGGGCCGGGAGGAGACTCGGGGTTGCAGGGCGCCGTTCCGGGTGCGGGTCCCGAGCACAGAAGCCTCTCCAATGCCGGGAGGACCGACCGACGGCCCCACACCGAGAACTGACCCTCAGCTGGACGGCCCCTTGCCTGGTTGGTCCCAACGTCCTCCCACTCTGCATTTTTATCCGACGCTCCTGCCTGGTCTTGTGACCCGTCTTTAAGGCTAAAATAAGGCCCGAACCGCAGTAGTCAGATCGGATCCGGATAGCCGAGCCCCTCAGGCGAGTCTGGGAGAAGTTCCCTTGGTAACCGTTGCTGAGAGACATTTCCGGAAGTAGGTTGCGCGCCTGCGCCGGGGGAACCGTCTGCGCCAGAGCACAAGAGAAACGGGTGTGGGAGTGTTCGGAATGGCGGAACCAGAGGCTGAGCCGGAACAGATCCGTCTGAAGTGCATCCGTAAGGAAGGCTTCTTCGCAGTGCCTCCGGAACACAGGGTGCGACGAGGTGTCACTCGGGGCAATTATGACCCCTCGCCAGCGGCAGGGCCGGACCGAGGCACCCTCGGTTTCAGTGTCGCGCTACGGCGCCGACGTTTCCCGCAGGCGGGATCGACAGTCCCAGAGTTCTCCGCGGCTGGGGCAGAAGCCGCCTGGGTGGTCCCAGGTCCCTGGTAGCAGAGAACTGGCGGTCCCGGCGGGGTGTGATCCAGTTCTCAAGAAGCCCGCCTCCCTGGAAAGAGCAGGCTTCGGGGTCCACTTCTAGTGCTTTTTATTTTTGCGCCCAGGCCGGGCCTGGAGCAACTTGTACTGAGGGAGAATTTACCTGTCAGAAGAGTTGGCGACTTGGAGTCTCTCTCCGGGCTTAGACTGGACTAGGCACGGCTCCGGCTGTGACCCGGCAGCCTTAGTGCGAGGACTCTGTGTGTGTTACTGTCACTAAGACCTCTACCGAGGTGCTATTACTCCTTTTCGTAGAGGTGAAGAAGGTGATTCATCTTTGGGGCGTTGAGTGAGTTTTACCGAGGCAAACAGCTGGTGGAGGGACGGAGGTTTGAATTCTGGCGACTGGATTGTGTTTTAAGTACTTACTGATAGGCCGAGTCACGTGTATAGTTAGACTTGTTAATAGATGGTGGCTGAACGAGTAACACAGCCGCACTAAGGTCCTCTGCTGGCCGTTGTGCATCTTTCAGATGTCCAGCAGGGGCTTGCTGAATTCAGAGCACTCTGCTGGACCCTGAGGCCAAAGCAGTGAGTTGGGAATACCCAGCCAAGGACAGTGCAAAGTGCACAGTGGTAAATGCCTCAAGACATAAAGTATCAGGGATTTTAGAGAAAGGAATTTGTTTTGTTTTGTTTTGTTTTTTGGCCGGGGCTGGGTTTGAACCTGCCACCTCGGGCATGCCGGGGCCCTACCCGTTTGAGCCACAGGCGCCGCCCCAGAGAAAGGAATTGTTTTATAGAATAGATGGCATTTATTTGAGGCCAGGAAGTGTGGAAAGGATTTGGGCGTCCAAAAAGGAGATGGGGCAGCATGACAGGCTCAGGGAGAAGCAGAATCACAGAGGAGTGAAAGGGTGAAGAGGAAGAGCAAGGAAGAAGGGAGTATGAGAAGGGGAATTAAGATGGGAGAGGGAGGTTAAAGCAATATCATGGAAGCGCACCAGGCCAGGTTATTTTGATTTGGCTCCTTATATGTCAAGGTAACAAGACCAGGGCTGGGCATGGTGCCTCAATGCCTATAATCATAGCACTCTGGGAGGCCAAAGTAGGTGGATTGCTTGAGTTCACTAGTTCAAAACCAGTCTGAGCAAAAGCGAGCCCCCGTTTCTACTAAAAATACAAAAACTGAGGCAAGAGGATCACTTGAGCCTCAGTTGGAGGTCGCTGTGAGCTGTGAGCTATGACACCATGGCACTCTACAAAGGGTGACAGCTTCAGACTGTGTCTCAAAAAAGAAACAGACAAAAGAAGTAATGAGACCAGGTCAGGTGATATGGCTCATGCCTGTAATCCTAACACTCTGGAAGGCCAAAGTGAGTGGATTGCTTGAGCTCAGGAGTTGAGACCAGTCTGAACAAGAGTGAGAACCCATCTCTAAAAACAGCCAGACATTGTGGCAGGTGTCTCTAGTCCCAGCTACTTGGGAGGCTAAGGCAAGAGGATCACTTGAGCCCAGGAGTCTGGGGTTGCTGTGAGCTGTGACCCACAGCACTCTACCAAGGGCAACAAAGTGATACTCTGTCTCAAAAAAAAAAAAAAACAAGACAGAGAGCAGGGTTGTTAAGGGAAGCTGTAGGAGCTGCTCCAATTTGAACCTTGATGCATGTACTTTTTTCTTTTTTTTGAGGTGGGTTTTGCTGTCAACTGGGCTGGAACATAGTGGCATCATTATAGCTTGCTGCAATCTTAAAACTCCTGGGCTGGCTTGGCGCCTGTGGCTCAAGTGGCTAAGGCGCCAGCCACAGACACCTAAGGTGGCGGGTTCAAATCCAGCCTGGGCCTGTCAAACAACAACGACGCTGCAACCAAAAAAAAGCCGGGCGTTGTGGTGGGTGCCTGTGGTCCCAGCTACTTGGGAGGCTGAGGCAGGAGACTCGCTTGAGCCCAGGAGTTGGAGGTTGCCATGAGCTTTGATGCCACAGTAGTCTACCCAGGGGCATAGCTTGAGGCTCTGTCTCAAAAAAAAAAAACAGCTCCTGGGCTCAAGTGATCTTTTTGCCTCAGCCTCCCAAGTAACTGGGACTACAGGCACCCACCACAGTGCCCAGCTAATTTTTCTATTTTTAGTAAAGATGGGATCTTGCTCTTGCTCATGCTGGTCTCAAAGTCCTGAGCTCAAATGATCCTCCTGCCTCTGCCTGAGTAGCTGGGAGTACAGGCATGTGCCACCACACCTGGCTAATTTTTCTATTTTTCATAGAGATGGGGTTTCAAACTCCTGTCCTCAAACAATCTTCCCCACTTGGCCTCCCAAAGTGTTAGGATTACAGGCCCACTCCTGGCCTGGGTGTATTTTTATATGCAAAGGAAAGTGTTCATTCAGGTCACCTAGAAGTACACCACATTAATAAGTGTATTTGAGTACAGGCTTTCTACTAGGACAGGAGAGATCCCAAAATACAGTGAATCAGTTAATATAGAGCTTCATTTTTCTCTTCCACACTCCAGAAAGAGGCAGCTCCTTCCACAAGGTGGGCCAGCCATTCTGGTTCTGTGTGTCTTGCTGCTTCACCTCATCTACATTTGCCTCAAAGGCCAAAGAGAAGTGGGTGGCAACCGGTTTCATTTCATCTGGAAGTCACATAGGTCCTTTCTCATATCCCAAGACCGAATGTCACTGGATAGTATTTCATAACTCAAAGGAAAAGCTGCTGTGTGGATGCTGTGGACAGACGTCTTTGCTGTAGAATGTTTCCATAGGTGGCCAGTGGCTACTGTTACTGGGTAGTGGACATGTGGGCCATGGGAAGGTGAGTGGTTAGGACACTTCAGTGATATTCAAAACACTGGCCCAGTATCATCACACCTTTTTCTCATCAGAAAAGCCCAAGTGGGCTGGTCCAAAGGTAAAGTGTTATCTCACCCAGTTGTTCAGTCAGTTACAGACTGAACTCGTTGAATTATTTTTTTTTTTTTTTGAGATGGAGCCTCAAGCTATCCCCCTGGGTAGAGTGCCATGGCATCACGCTCACAGCAACCTCCAACTCCTGGGCTCAAGCGAGTCTCCTGCCTCAGCCTCCCAAGTAGCTGGGACCACAGGCGCCCGCCACAACGCCTGGCCATTTTTTGGTTGCAGCCGTCATTGTTGTTTGGCGGGTCCGGGCTGGGGATTCGAACCTGCCACCTTAGGTGTATGTGGCTGGCGCCTTAGCCGCTTGAGCCATAGGCGCCGAGCCTCCTCGTTGAATTCTTGCATCTTCTTACTACTGCATTTGAGTAGTCTTTCAAAAGAAACCAAAAAAAAGAAAAGCCTGTGTATGGTTGCTTTTCTGTTGGTGAGCAAGACATGAGTAGGCTCTTTGGTCCAAAGTGCATGTGAAGTCTCCACCCTTAGTTGTTCCATTCACCACCGGATGTCTACACTGCAGCACCGTTCTCTCCCAGCTAGGACAGTGCCGGAGTGTGAAGGAGTTCGAGAAGCTGAACCGCATCGGCGAGGGCACCTATGGCATCGTGTGTGAGTAGCCAAGCTGGGGTGTGTAGCTGCCACTCATGGTTCTGGCTCATCTAGGACAGGGGTGGCAAAGCAGCACCTGTGTTGAGGCTTAAAGGGGTTCATTCCCTGAGCTTCAGCCAGCACAGAAACTTGTTCCAGAACTTTATTCTTGGTGTAATTACCACAAACTATACCATTTCTGGATAAATGTAAGCATCGGGTTGCAATGTCAATAATCCGAATGTAGAACCACAGAGTGGAGATTATTACTAGTGAAATGTAGAACTTCCAAAAGCAGCTGGAGATGTGGTAGCTGCAAATTGGCATTAGCCTTTCTGGAACCTGCACAAAATAGCAAAGTGTTTTATGGACCATTTTCACACAAAATAAGGGGCTTTTTTTGAGACAGAGTCACTGTGTCACCCTCGGTAGAGTGCCTTGGCATCACAGCTAACAGCAACCTCCAACTCATTGGCTTAAGCGATCTTCTTGCCTCAGCTTCCCAAGTAGTTGGGACTACAGGCACCCCCCACAATGCCCGACTATTTTTTTGTTGCAGTTGTTGTTTAGCAGGCCCTTGCCAGGTTTGAACCTGCTAGCCTCGGTGTATGTGGCCGGCACTCTACTTACTGAGCTATGGGCACCAAGCTCAAAATAAGGGTTTTTTAGATTCAGTACTTTGACGTTAAAACATAGTTATAGGACAAGACAGTGGTCTGCACTGTAAGGATAACTGAGCAGCTAGGGGCCAGGTTCTAGCACCCCCCAACCATTCCACATGAAAAATCCACCAGACTTCTGCGTTTTGGGATAGGATGCAGCTTGCACAGAATGAGGACCAAGTGTCACTGGCACTGGGTTGTCAGAGAAGAGGAAGAGGAGGAGGCCAGGAGGAGGCACCTGTGCATTACAGGTACTCTGGCCAGACTTTGTTAGATCCTGAATGTGTTTCCAGATCGGGCTCGGGACACCCAGACAGATGAAATTGTCGCACTGAAGAAGGTTCGGATGGACAAGGAGAAGGATGGTGAGCAGGGAGGAGGGGCAGGACCACCGTACTGGGGCAGGAAGGTGTGAGTTTTCTGTGGCTTCCCCAGGACTGAATCCTCCAGAGGCATCTGCACAGTGCTCAGTGCTGTGTGCAGCATAGCTGGGACACTCCTGTTGTCCAGCCTCTGCAGAGTTCTGGCATGTCAGCCATCACCCCCAGTCCCACACTCTTAAGCCTCAGCTCTCTGAACCTTGCATGGTTTTCCCCCGTCTGCTTGGAGGGGCTCTGCATTTTCTGCATCCCTCCACACTGAGCCACCCACCTCTGGTCACCTCCCAGTACCTGCTTGTAACACAGTTAGTGCAGTGAGGTGCTAATTTATATTTGATGGAAAGTTAAAAATGCATGTTCAGATCATAGTGATTCTAAGGTGTTTATGAAGCCCTCAAGGGTAGGGGCTGGCTGAGGCTTTCCCTGGCTATAGGTGTCCCCTCTGCAGGGGGTTGGAGGCTCCCTGAGGCTGTCTCCCCCTAGGTGTCCCCTCAGCGGGGTGGGGGCTTACTGAAGCTGTCTTCCCCCAGGCATCCCCATCAGTAGTCTGCGGGAGATCACGCTGCTTCTTCGTCTTCATCATCCGAACATCGTGGAACTGAAGGAGGTGGTTGTGGGGAACCACCTGGAGAGGTGTGCAGCCTCCCGGTTTCTGCATCAGGCCTCAGCTGAGTCCCTGACCTGTTCCCATGGCTTGGGTGGTCCCCATTCTCCAGCAGGGGAGCCCCTTTCCTTACTTACAGGAAAGCAGGAGTTGCATGCATCTTCCCCTTTTCGTCAGCATCTTCCTGGTGATGGGTTACTGTGAGCAAGACCTGGCCAGCCTCCTGGAGAATATGCCAACACCCTTCTCAGAGGCCCAGGTTCGTGGCTGGGGGCCATTGGGTGGGAACTTCATAGGCTCTTACTGTGCACACTTGTACCAAACACAGCCACTGCCACGTCTCAGCTTTATAGAGAGGGGAGCATTAGGAATTCTCCCAGCTATGGGCATTAGATTGGTCACTGTATAGGGGGTGGGGGCAGCAATACCTTTTGAGCTGTGCTACACACAGCAGCCTCTGGGTTCCTGTGGCTGTGTGCTGACCACTGGTCCTGAGGCCACTGTGGACATTGCAGGCCCAGCCGGGCTCCCGAAGCACTGCCTGACTGGCGCCTCTGGCCCTGTGCACAGGTCAAGTGCATCGTGTTACAGGTGCTCCGTGGACTTCAGTACCTGCACAGGAACTTCATCATCCACAGGTGGGTGGCGGCGTGATGCTGAGAGGGTTGTCCCTGGCCTCTGTTGGCAGCATGCCATTCCAAGTGCTGTCCAGGAGAGGAGCAAAAGTGCAGTGCTCCTCAGGAAGGGTCCAGACCAAAGGAGTTTGACAAGCCCTCAGGCCTGGGTGGTGACTGGGTATGAGTGCACCCAGCCTGGAGATGGGGGTGATGCAGTGGAGACCAGAGCCTCCTTGGAGTGCTGTGACTCACAGCAGGAAGCAGGATGGTGCAGGTAGTGGCTTCCCTATATTGGGCAGCTGGTGCAATATCTGGGTGGGGAGCCAGGCAGAATTGGAAGTGAGACCTGGTTCTGCTCTTGCTTCAGAGAGCTGTGGGGAGCTCTGGTATCCCCAGCTATAAGTCATCTTGCCCCACTGCCTGCCCTTCCTTTTACTTTTTTACTTACTTGAGATAGAGTCTTACTCTTTTGCTCTTGGTAGAGTGCTGTGGCATCATCATAACTCACAGCAACCTCAAACTCTGGACCTCAAGTGATCTTCCTGCCTCAGCTTCCTGAGTAGCTGAGATTATAGGCACCTGCCACCATGCCCAGTTTGTTTTTCTATTTTTAGGAGATATGGAGTTTTACCCAGTTTGGTCTTGAACTCCTGAGCTCAGGCAATCCACCTGCTTCGGCCTCCCAGAGTGCTAGGATTACAGATATGAACCACTGTGCCCAGCCCTCTGTTTTCCCTTTTAGAGGGGCCAAATGTGGCTCGGTGCCCGTAGTTCAGTGGTTAGGGCGCTAGCCACATACAGTGAGGCTGGCAGGTTTGAATCCAGCCCAGGCCAGCTAAACAACAATGACAACTGCAACAACAATAAAAAATAGCTGGTGTTGTAATGGGCGCCTGTAGTCCCAGCTACTTGGGAGGCTGAGGCAAGAGAATTGCTTAAGCCCAAGAATTTGAAGTTGCTGTGAGCTGTGACACCACAGCACTCTACCGAGGGTGACATAGACTCTGTCTGAAAAAAAAAAAAAGAGGAGGGGCAAACGTGAGGAAATGTTCAGGAAAGCACTAAATGATAACAGTCCAATTACCCTGTGGAGCTGGCTGCCTGGGAGCCACCATTGTTCTCTTTCTGTCACAGAGACCTGAAAGTCTCCAACTTGCTCATGACTGACAAAGGCTGCGTGAAGACAGGTAGGTGTTGCCTGCTGGCCTCACATCACAGAGTGGTCTTCTGTGACCATCACCTTGCTGAGGGCCAGCAGGTGCTGGTCTTCATAGGCACCGGAAGTCAGGGCCTGACTAGTCTCCGTGGCCCTAGGTGGTGAGGAAGTGGCCCTCATGGGGCAATAGTCCTTATTCTCCCTTTTCTGCTGCAGCGGATTTCGGCCTGGCCCGGGCCTATGGTGTCCCAGTAAAACCAATGACCCCTAAGGTTGTCACCCTCTGGTGAGTCCTCAGAAACGGGGGCCCTTGGGGCATGGGTTGGGAATGGCAGGCTGAAGCTGCAGACAGGCCCTGAGGGTATTGTAGCTGTGCAGCCTGCGATCACTTGTAAAGATGAGGTCTAGGACAGCTTCCCCAACACAGCAGTTATCCTGGGAGAGGGGATGCCAGCCAGGCTTGTGGTGTCGGGAAGCTGCCTTGTCCAGATAGCTGTGGAGCTCTCTCAGGAAGCAAGGCTGCTTTGCAGATCAAGGATGGGCAGCTCATGCAGCAGTCTGCTTATACTTCTCCTCTATGTTCTTGACAGAGCAGGGCAGAGGTAAAAGGCAAGACACTGAAATTGGTCAGACCCAGGTCAGGATATCCACATGATCCCCATCTGAAAATGGGCTGATGATGGTGACTGGGTGTAGCTTTATGCTGGGGAATCCATGATTCTTGTAACAGGCAAGATGGTGCCACCCATCATGGCTCCCCCACAGGCAGCTGTGAGTAGGCATGTTGCCGCCATTTGCAGGGGGAGAACAGGGGTGTGGGGTGGGGTCACCAATCCAGCTGTCCAACCCACCATGGGCTGTTAGGAGGCCATCTCTTGTTGAGGCCTGGCCTAGAGCAGAGCAGCTCAGTGCAAGGTGGGTGTTGTTCACAGGTACCGAGCTCCTGAACTGCTGCTAGGGACTACCACCCAGACCACCAGCATTGACATGTGGTGAGCAGCTGCCGGGGGGGCCGGGCCCTGAGAGGAGTGTGAGAAGGGGCCTCTAGCAGTGACGTTTGCAGGAGGTGGGCCTGCTTTCACAGTGTTCTCTCACCCCCATGGGCCCATGGCTATAGTAAGGCCTGCTGTTCTCTGTAGGGCTGTGGGCTGCATCCTGGCTGAGCTGCTGGCCCACAAGCCCCTTCTTCCTGGCACCTCTGAGATCCACCAGATCGACCTAATTGTGCAGCTGCTGGGGACACCCAGTGAGAACATCTGGCCGGTGGGTGTCCTGGGAAGCCCTGTGGCCCCTCCCCACACTTTGCCCACATGGCTCAGCCCCTGCTTCCTATAGGGCTTCTCCAAGCTGCCGCTGGTTGGCCAGTACAGCCTGCGGAAACAGCCCTACAACAACCTCAAGCACAAGTTCCCATGGCTCTCTGAGGCTGGGCTGCGCCTGGTGAATCTCCTCTTCATGTATGACCCCAGGAAAAGGTGTGACACCCCCTCCCCGCTCTTCTGTGGGCCAGGAGCCCTGACCTCCATGCAGAGGCGGAGGGACTCCTTATGCCCAAATCTGTCACAGGTAGTTTCTCAGAACATAGGCTGATGCCATTTCCACACATGTGCCTGCCAGGCACCTTGGCCACGGGGCTCCTGTCCACCCACCCGTGGAGCCCACTCTGAAGTCCCCCCGTGTGCCACCCAGCATCTTTGGGGAATTTGAACCACAGCTGCCTGGGAGGTGGGGTGTGAGGGAAACAGACTGACCAAGGCCAAGTACCCCACTACCGGCTAACTCCTCCAGGGCGACAGCTGGAGACTGCCTGGAGAGCTCGTACTTCAAGGAGAAGCCCCTCCGTGAGTGCCCCAACCCCCTCCGGCTCGCTCTGTGGGGACTGGCTGGTGGTCCATCTTGTCTGGGTGGAGTGTGGGTCCTGAGCAGACCTGTGTGTAGCCAGGCATGTCTCCATGGGGTGAAGGCAGGAACAGCACAGTGCAGGGCTGGACAAGGTGCAGCTGGGTTCAGACCTGGGTTTCCTCTCTACCTGCACTGAGCCGCTTATCTTCCCTGCAGCCTGTGAGCCGGAGCTCATGCCCACCTTCCCTCACCATCGCAACAAGCGGGCTGCCCCAGCCTCATCTGAAGGCCAGACCAAGCGCTGCAAGCCCTGACCGTGAACCCAGCACACACCTGTGTCCCCTCACCCAGATGGCTGTATCAGCAGTGGACAGAAACAGTCCTGCAGGCTGGGCTGATCAGCCACCTGGGATCCATCTTATCCCCTTGGCTGGGACATCCTTTAGCCAGCTTTACCCTGCTATTCCTTCTGTACCCACCGCCTCCAGAGGCAGCCAGGTGTGGACATGAGGTGGGGGCTTCTAGCCTCTATACCCTAGAAGGCCTCTGCTATGGCCACATGGAGTCCGCCCATCAGTTTGGCTCTTGTTTGGTGACCCTTCTCTGGAGTTGTTGGGTCCAACTCACTGGGTGTCTTAGAAATGGTGGTGTATTCTGCCCAGGGTAGAGAGGCTGTGCTGACCTCACGTGGGGCCAGCAGTACCCCTAGTAGGGAGGAGAAACAAAGGTGAGGTGGGGGCTATGACATGCCCTGAGACCCCAGGAGGAGAGCTGGGTTGGGGCTGAGCTGTACTTTTCCCCAGAAGAGTGTGTGGTTGGCTCTGGAGCAGAGCAGAAGATGGAGCTCTTATTAGATATGTACTTTCCCAACAGCATGCTTGCTTCATCATTTTATGTATTTCAGGTCTGATTCTTTCAACATTGACAGCATCCTCTGAGTGTGTCAGGGTCCAGAGGGGGATGTGAAGTCCTAGTGACCAGGGAGGGGGGAGCCCAGAACAGCAGGTGAGAGCACCAGCCAGAGGTGAGCAGGGCAGACCCCTCTAGCAGGTTCACTTTCAGGCCTCCCTTGAGCCCAGCAGCCTGCACCTGGGAAGCTGGGGCAGTGTTGGTGAGAACCCTTGTCTACTTGCAGATCTTAGGCACCTCCGTGTCTGGTTTGAGGTCATGTCACATTCAGTCTGTGGACCCAGCTTCCCCTGCTCCCCTGGCCCTGTGGCTAACGCATTTGGGCAGGCCTGTGACACCAAGGGGAAGGCTAGGGATACCACAGCCAGGTGTGCTATGTGCCAGGCAGAGCCCATGACTGGCCCCAGGAACTCAGGGGTCCCAGTGTCACCTTCAAGGCCCTGTTTGGAGATGGACATGTGCAGGGAGGCTGCATGTTCTGAACCACAGACCTCATAGAGCAGGAGTGCAGGCCAGCCAGAAGGCCTCAGGTCACGGGTCCTTCTCAGGGGCAGGTTTGATCACTGACTTAGACACATAGGCTGGCTGTAGGCATGGATACTGAGGACAGGAGCCTGTAGAAAGGCTACTGCTGGGGTCTAGACTTGGTCCCTGTGGGAGGTGCTTTCTGTGTAAAGCAAGGCAATCTGTCCCCCTAGTGGGGCCTGGACTGTCTAAACCCCTCCTGCTGTGCCCAGGACTCCCCCGTGGCAGGGTAGCCATTGGCCTGAGCCCCCCAAAGAGAAGCACCATGGGAACTAAGGCCCCTGACGTGGGGCCCTCCTGGGCCTAGGGCCTGGCCCCAGGGCTGTCGTAGAGCAAAGTGTCCATCTGTGCACGCTGTAGCCATAGGCGCCGTCGGGGCTCCCCAAGCAGCACACGCAGTGAGTGACTGGGGCGGCAGGTGGGCAGGGCTGCGCAATGGGCTGCATGCAGCTGGTGGCAGGTGTCACAGCAGAGGGTGGGTAGGGTGCCAGGGAGCAGGCAACTGTGTGCCTGGTAGCCTGGGGGCTCAGGGGCAGGCCCAAAGGATGATGCCTCTGCCCGCATATGCCTGGGGCTAGCGCCCCCAGGACTCCTGGGGGTTTCAGGAATGGCCAGGTCTCCAGGCCGACTCAGCTCTCGGCGCAGAGAAAGGAAGGAGAAGGCTGAGGGCTCAGGCTCCAGCTCTTCCTCTGAGGCCCCGTAGGGTGGGCTGCTGGCCTGAGATAGCTCTTCAGCTGGGGGCTCCCAGGCCTGGCCCCCAGAGCCCCACAGTTTAGCACTCTGCTCCCAGAGTGGGGGTCTGTAGGCCAGCTCTCCTGGGGGTGAGTCTGGGTCCAGGGATGGCTCCTCGTACAGGCTGGCCTCCTCTGAGCCCTCGTCTTCCTGCAGGTCTCGGTACAAGTCCAGTGGTGCCCTGTAAGTAGCAGGGGTGCCTCTGGGGGGCAGGGGCGGTGGCTCAGTATCCTGGGCCAGTCGCTGCTGCAGCCAGGCTACACAGGAGGCCACATCCCCATTGGCCCGGCGTGCCTGCAGCAGCTCCTCAGCTGGCAGCACACTGGTGCCCAACTGGGATAGCACCTCTCCCAGGATCTCACATTCCAGCCGCAGGGCGAAGCAACCCAGGGCCACCTGGACCAGCTGGCAGGCCGGGGGTGGGGCGGTCACCATGAGACAGTGGCTGTCCCTGCGCACATAGCCCATCTTCTGGAAGCTCTTAATAAGGAGGTCTTCGGAAAGCACGCCCTTAAGCACGTGCACATAGCCCCCAGAGAAGGTCTGCAAGGGAAGGAGGGGCCTGGTCAGCCACCGAGCCCAGCACAGACGCAAACTCAGTCCCAGAAACCAACCTGGCTAGCCTGGGGCAGGCCTGAATATCAGAATTTTTTTTTTTTTTTGAGACAGAGCCTTAAGCTGCTGCCCTGGGTAGAGTGCCATGGCATTAATTCACAGCAACCTCCAACTCCTAGGCTCAAGCAATTTTCTTTCCTCCTCCTCCCAAGTAGCTGGGACTATAGGCACCCTCCACAACGCCCCGCTATTTTTTGGTTCCAGCCGTTATTGTTTGGAGGGCCTGGGCTGGATTCCAACCCGCCAGCTCTGGTGTATGTGGCTGGCATCGTAGCCTCTTGAGCCCGGCTATTTTTTTTTTTTGGTTACAGCCGTTATTGTTTGGAGGGCCTGGGCTGGATTCAAACCTGCCAGCTCAAGTGTATGTGGTGGCGCCTTAGCCACTTGAGCTACAGGCGCTGAGCCCAATTTGTTAATTGTTGTACAGAAGCTTTTTAGCTTGATGCAATCCACTTATATATTTTTTCTCTTGTTGCCTGTACATTTTTATTTTTTTGAGACAGGTCTCCCTATGTTGCCTAGGCTGGAGTGTGGTGGTGTCATCATAGCTCATTGCCACCTTGAACTCCTGGCCTCAGGTGATCCTTCCTCCTCAACCTCCTGAGTAGCTAGGACTACAGGAACACACTACCACGCCTGATTGATTTTTAAATTTTTTGTAGAGATAGAGTCTCACCATTTTGCCCAGGGTAGTATTGAACTCCTGTCCTTGAGTGATCCTCCCACCTTGGCTACTCAAAGAGCTAGAATACAAGCCTAAACCACTTTGTCTAGACTCTAGTCTTTGGATGTAGACATTTATTGCTATAATCCTTAGAATCAATCATGTGATTTTTCTCCTTTTACCTTTAATATGGTGATTTACAGCAACAGATTTCCTAACACTGAACCATCACTATGTTTCTTTTTTTTTTAAATTTCTTTTTAAATTATGTTTCTTATATAAGGTTCACTAGAGAATAATATTACATAAGGTGTCCGTAAAGTTCATGTGCAACTATTTTAAATTGCACATGAACTTTATGGACACCCTATATATTATTTTGTTGTCATACTGTAGGCTTGTATTTAACCTTGTTTTATTGAGTTATTTACAGATGGGATTTATTTATAGTTTTGTTAATGCATAATTTTGGATTTGGGTATCAGTATTATGTTCATTTTAATAAAAAGATTAATTTCTTCCTCTTTTGCACTCTAAAAACAGTTAAATATTGAACATTTGTTTAAATATTAGACAGTGAAGTTACCTGTGTCTTTAAAGTTTTCTGGGATAATTCCCTGTATTTTCCTAGTGCATAAGAAGCGTTTTTACATTCTTTTTCTATGGTAACTGGCCTCCTTAGGTTTTTCTATCTCATTTGGGGCAATTTTTGGTAGTGTATTATTTCTTAAAAATTATTAATTTTATTCATGTATATGAATATTTATAGATAATTAAGCAAATCAGTATCTTCTTATTCTTACAATAACCAGAGTAGGTATCATTATGTTCTATTCTTCGATTTTGTGTATTTGTGCTTTCTCTCTTTAAAATATTAGGAAATAGGCTCGGTGCCTATGGCTCAAGTGGCTAAGGCATCAGCCACATACAACTAAGGTGGCAGGTTCAAATCCAGCCCGGGCCCACCAAACAACAATGATGGCTGCAACCAAAAAAAAAAAAAATAGCCAGGCATTGTGGCAGGCACTTGTG